CTCCTGGGAAGGGCTATAAGAGTAATGAGAAAGGCAGAAGTCCCCGTGCAACAGTGCAAGACAAAATACAGGCCTCTCGATTTTCTGTTTTGGAAGATGATGCAGAACTTACACACACAGAGCCAGAAGTATCAGCTGATAATGAGACCATGCGGTCCTCTAGTCATGATCTGGAACAAATTGAAGAGGATGCTGATAATGACACTGATGTTACCAAGAAGTCTACTCTCTTGGAGAAATCTTCCGCACTTCGGGTTCCACTGCCTCGACAAACTAAGGCTGCGCGTAGGGCTGCTACAGCGTCCTTTTCTCAACAAGCTAAGGAGGTTCCTCCTAGCAACTCGAGTAAAAGGACAACAAACAAAAAACAATAATGTCGGGGTTTTCCTGGAATATACGTGGTTTCAACAAGGATAAAAAACATTATGTGGTTAGGGAGTGGATTAGAGCAGAGTCCCTGCAGTTTGTGTGCTTACTTGAAACACGTGTCCAGGAAGCCAAGGCCACGCGGATCATTTCTTTGGTGTTTCGAGGCTGGTCATTTATGAATAATTATGAATTTAATCGTCTAGGAAGGATTTGGGTTGTTTGGAAGGAAGATGTGCGAGTAACCCCAGTTTTTAAGAGTGGACAAATTATCACTTGTTCAATTCTATAACCTGGGGTTGTGGAGGAGTTTTTAATTTCTTTTGTGTATGCAGCTAGTCTAGCAGAAGAAAGAAAGGAGTTGTGGGAGGATATTAAAAATCACTATGACTCACCATTGGTCCGTAACAAGCCTTGGTTAATTGTAGGTGATTTTAATGAGACTCTTGATGGATCGGAGCACTCGAATCATGAGTCATCACCAGTCTTAGGAGGGATGAGAGACTTTCAAGAGCTGGTCCGTTACTGTACATTAGAGGACATGAGTTATCGTGGTCCTTTGTTTACTTGGTGTAATAAGCGAGAAGAGGGTTTAATATGCAAGAAACTGGACCGGGTGTTGGTTAATGAGGAGTGGAATAAAGCTTTTGCAGATAGTTATAGTGTTTTCGAGTCAGGAGGTTGTTTAGATCATCTAAGGTGCCGCTTCACAGTTGATACTGCAGTTAGTAAACCGAGAGGGCCATTCAAATTTTCAAATGTCATCGCATCTCTACCAGATTTCCTGCCGACGGTTCAGGCTTTTTGGGACAATACAAGTGCTTTGTATCATTCTACATCGGCTATGTATCTCTTTGCAAAAAAGCTTAAAGCCCTTAAACCGATTCTTTGTACTTTGAGCCGTAGGAAGCTAAGTAAGTTATCTGAATGGGTGGAGGAAGCTCATAAGAATTTATGTGAGCGACAACAAAATAATCTTGGAAATCCCACAGTAGCATCAATGGATGAGGAAGCTATAGCATTTCAACGATGGGATCATGTCTCTGCAATCGAGGAGGGGTTCCTCAAGCAGAGATCAAAGTTACATTGGCTTCACGTTAGGGATTAAAATAACAAGTATTTTTACAATGCTATTAAATCAAGGCAGGCTCACAATGCAATCCGAGAGATAAAGCGTCCTGATGGCTCTGTGGTTAAAACTCAAGATGATATTAAAACTGAGGCAGTCTGGTTTTTTGAAGAGTTTCTTACACACAAACCTGCTGATTTTGATGCATTTACAGTTGCACAAATCGAGCAGCTGATGGAGTTTCGCTGTTCTAGCACAGTTCAAGACGGGCTGTTGCGAGAAGTGTCTGCAGAGGAGATCCGTCAAGTTCTTTTCAAGATGCCGGGGAGTAAAGATCCTGGTCCGGATGGTTACACATCTGATTTTTTCAAGGAGGCTTTGTAACGCCCGCGTCCCAAATTATGAAAGGGGGGCAATTTTTTTTAAGGAAAATGATAGCCTGATGAGCTTAAGTAGCAAAACTATTAGCTCAAACAGCTAGAAGACAAGTTAAACAAGCTAGGAAGCACGATAAGCTAGCTAAGTCAGCTGAGGTGAGTTACACTAGCTGGAGGACTAGCTAGTTCAGCTGCGTGAGCTGGCCGACAGCTCAACCGAGCTCGGTGAACTTATTGAGTACTGACCCAGCTGGATGGACTGGGCAGCTGACACTCGAGCTGGTTGACTGAGGTAGCTCGGTAGCATGTGGGGTTGTGATCGAAAGGGGTCCAACTCTCTGAACGGATGCAACTTTCCAAAAAGGTGCAAGGAATGGGCGTGTCCTTTCATGGAACACCCATTGGCGTCCTATATAAAGGATGGACGCCCACACATTTGGGGGGATCATTTCTCCATCAACACCTAAGTAGAAAAGGGTTTCCGGCTCGGCGAGTACAAGAGACTCGACCGAACTGATACGCACGCTACCTCTCTATCGATGATGTGAGGAAATGATAGACGGTCTGATCATAGATTGGACTGGTGGGCAGATGGTCGATGGTTCGACCTTAAGGAAAGAATGACAGATGATTGGGTCACTAGATGATTGATGGTTCGATTTGGGGATTGAATTGATCAATGTAATCATTCCATACCAAGTCCGATAAGTCGAAGGAGGGAATGATGGATTATCACCGTGAATCGGTGGGCTATAAGTCCCCGTCTCTGTTGTGTACTAAGCCAATGGGGTTGGTTGGTTGTATGGCTAAGGCACAAGAGATGGGTCAAGGTAAAACCATTCCGCTGCCAACATGGGTTTACCAAGCAATGCTGCAAGCCAAAGCTAAGTAAACAAGACAAATCGTGGTCGTTCGGCCGGAAATGAGGCCGAACTGGTACCCTTGGTCGTCGGACGCCGAGACATCTAGGGTGGGCTTCTTGCTTCCGAGTTAGTCAAGGACTATCATAAAGAGTCAATAAGCAGTCGTTGTACTATGAAGATTGACATATCCAAAGATTTTGATTCTGTGCAATGGCCTTTTTTGCTAAATATTTTGAAGGCAATCAATATCCCGAATGCTTTCATACATTGGATCGAGTTATGCATTGGGTCAGCCTCATTCTCGGTTCAGGTTAATGGGGAGTTGGCGGGGTTTTTCCAGAGTACAAGGGGTCTGAGACAAAGGTGCTCACTATCTCCTTACCTTTTTGTCATTTGTATGAATGTCCTGTCTTTAATGCTTGACAAGGCTGCTCGGGAACGACTTATCGGTTATCACCCACGTAAAACAATGAGTCTTACTCATCTCTGTTTCGTTGATGATGTTCTCATTTTTTCAGATGGGAACTCTCGCTCAATTGCAGGTATTTTGTCGGTTTTTGATAAGTTTGCAGTAGGCTCTGGTTTAAAAATCAGTCTTGAAAAATCAACAATCTTCATGGCTGGTTTATCACAACAACATCGAGGAAGCATGCTTCGACAATTTCCATTTGAGGCTGGTTCGCTTCCTGTTCGTAATTTAGGGCTTCCTCTACTTACTCGAAGCATGACAATAGCTGACTATCTTCCATCACTTGAGAAAATTCGCTTGTGTATCACTTCTTGGACTAGTCGTTTTCTGTCTTTCGCAGGAAGATTACAATTGATTAAATCAGTGCTCACAAGTATCACTAATTTTTGGCTATCGGGTTTTTGTCTCCCAAGTAAGTTTTTCAAGGAAATTGATAGTTTATTCTCTGCTTTTCTGTGGTCCGGACCTGAACTGAATACACAAAAGGCGAAGATAGCTTGGATAGATGTTTGTAAGCCATTGCAGGAAGGCGGTTTGGGGATTAGGCGTCTTAAGGACACTAATACGGTGTCCATTTTAAAGCTTATTTGGCGCTTAGTATCAGCTGATAGTTCACTGTGGGTCTCTTGGGTTCGAAAAAATCTCATCAAAAATGGTTCCATTTGGTCTATTAACGAGAGAAGTAATTTGGGGTCATGGATGTGGAGGAAAATTTTATAAGTATAGAGAGAAGGCAAAACCTTTGCATCGAAAGGAGATGACAACGGGTCTGGGCACTTCTTTTTGGTTTGACGTTTGGAGCCCTCTTGGTAATCTGTTTGATAAACTAGGAGCTCGAGGAAGCATTGATTTGGGAATCTCTAAATTCAGCTCAGTAGCGGAAGCCGTCAACTCTCGTAGAAGACGTCGACATCGGGTTCCTCTACTTAACCAGATTGAGGTTGAACTGGACTCTATTCAACAACAAGGTAAAACTGGGCATGATCGGCCACTTTGGAAACAGGGGAATGGCTCCTTCAAGGGTAAATTTACTTCGCATGATACATGGTCTCTCATTCGTCAAGTCCACCCAACATGTCATTGGCATAAGGGGGTGTGGTTCGCTAACTCTACTCCAAAGTATACTTTTATTACTTGGCTTGCTATTCACAACAGGCTTGCAACGGGGGATAGACTAGTCAATTGGAATGTCGGAGCTGGTGGGGAGTGTGTGTTCTGTCGTGCTCAAGAGTCGAGGGACCATCTACTCTTTGCCTGCTCCTACTCCTCTCAAGTTTGGTCAGCTCTATCGAGAGGTCTACTAGGAAATAGATACACCACCAGCTGGGGTACCATCATCCCATTGCTCACAGACGCTTCTACACCACGTCTCCACCTGTTCGTGTTGCGGTATGTGTTTCAAACCACAATTTATTATCTTTGGCGGGAACGCAATGGTAGACGTCACGGAGACGCACCAATGCCTCACCAAACCCTGATCGGTTTCATCGACAAGAGTATTCGTAACCGTCTAGTCACGTTGCCAAGAGCTGCAGAGTATGAAGGTGCTATACGTTATTGGTTTCAAACCCATAATTAATAATTTTTTTCTAAATTGTTTCTATTGATTTAGTGCTAAAAATGTTCAGGCCATTGATGTTTTTTGTAACACAGTCTTTTTTTGGTGAATATATTTTAACATTCATACAAAAAAAAAAAGATTGTAATGGTTTGTCTTTTTCCCGCAAAGTGAATAATAACAAAAAAGATGAACAACAAAGCTCCATGATCAAAAGTAATTAACAAAATTAAAATACAAAAGTCCTAAATAAAATGGAATCAAACATCAAAAACCAACAAATCCAATAACCAAAAAACTAACACAACTCAAACTCTTTGTCATCGGCATATTCTATCACAACCGAATCTTCATTGATCTTTATGTTTTCAAGAGGCTGCTTTGGAATTTGAGGTTGATTCTCATGGATTTTCTTTTCGTTCGGAACATTTACAACAACCTCCTTTTGCAAGAGCTTCACGTTAACTACATCTTTAGGTTTATGTGTAACTAAGATAGATGGACGGATTGGATGGTTACCCGAAAACATGTAAGCTCTGAACACTCTATCTCCACCACGAGTTCCAAGCTCTACAAATATCTTGTCAATTTCAGACTTGGTAATACGAGTAGAACGTTTGCGTAAACCTGAATAACCAAATGCCTTCCATGAGATTTTTCCGTTTACATAGTGATCATAACTTCGGAAAGTTTTTTTGTATTCTCTCAAGTTGTTTACGTCGGTCATGGTTTTGTAAAACTCTTTCTGATGATTTTTGGGGTTATTGGTGGAATTTCAAAGATCGTTGTATATTTAGGAAAATATATATATAAATTTTAATGGTTTTATAAACATTATGAGAATCGTTAGAAAGTTATCTATATACAAAATAAATAAAAACAAAAATAATTTTTGTTTTTGTTTTTCCTTTTTTATTTTTTATTTTATTTTATAAATTTATGATTTGATTAGTTTTGATGTAATTAAAATCAAGTGAGGTTTTTTTTAAGAAGAAGAGGAACTGAAAACGCTACAATGATTGATGATTGATTTCCCAAGTAGATGTCATCAACATTCTTTCTTGGTTTACAAAGCTCAATTAAGAGGACGAGGGACTTGTTTGATTGACATTGCAAAATTTCAAAAAAAAATCATTGAAGACCATAGACAAGCAAAGCTCCAACAGCTCCAAGACCGACCAATAAGCCAACACTGACACCAATCGGAGGCAATCCTTCTCCTATGACCTTTCTTGTGTTCACGTCATATTTTGAAAACCTCTTCTTTGGTGCTATGCATTGAGGACATGTGTATGTATCATACTGGAAATAAATACAAGACACATGAAAGTTGAGATGACAGAACAGTTGCGGCCACGCAAGTATGTGGCCACACAAGTATTTTATTATCATTAGCGCATACATCTGCGATAATTAATTCACGTCTGCACATGTGTGATATTACCATTAAACCAATTTTGAATTGCCGCAGACATCCGCCTGCACATGTGTGATATAACCATCAAACCAATTTTCAATTGCCGCAGACATCCGTTAAAACCATTTATCTAGTTGCGCAGACCTCGTTTATTATTTGATTTTATAATTATTGAATTTTAACTTTCATTATGATGAGACAAATCGTCACATGAAAAGGAGCTACCCGTTAGATAACACATCATACTACCAAACTAAGTTTACCGTCAAGTTGTCACATCATAGCACGTATTTTATATTCAAAGCTTGTTTCTAATGAAATTTTATAATTTTATTGAAATTTAAAATTTTCATTACGATAGGACAAATCGTCGCAGCAAAAGGAGCTACCCGTTTAGACACCACATCATACTTTTACTTGAATATGTTTAGACAATCATTAATAGTGGGATCTTATTAAACTATCACTTATCATATAAGATTATTTCTTTGCAAAATCTTATCCTAAGATCTCACCATTAATGATGCCCTTACCGTCGAGTTGTCACATTATAGCACGTGATTTTTATTCAAGAGCGCTCATTTGACTGCATGTGACCATCTCCAATGGTTAGCTCTATTTCTTGTTCTAAATAAATTTATTCAAATATCTTTTATTCAATATTTTCTTTTACCTTCTTCTTAATTCCTCTAAGAATTTTAAATTTAACCCACTTAAGTTAATTTTAAACAAATATCTATTAAAATTATGACATTATTAAAAACTATATTTTTCCCACAAATTATCCACTAATGCGTTCCGAATTGAGAAATGAGCTTCTTTGTCTTTGATTTGTCTATATTTTAATATATTAATTAGTTTAGTAACTAAGAATTTTATAATATAAATGTATGTTACGATAAAATTCCATTATATAATTTTGTCTAGGTATAACATGAGAATATATTAAAGTTGAGGAGTATTTTGTGAATAGTGTTGCTCTCATTCGACGAAGAATCATTTTATCAAATTTTGGTGTTAGCATTCCCTAATTCGAATTACAGTATGAGCAATTTAACAAGATCGAGCGAAGTATCAAGTTCCCGTACAAGAAGAAGAGTGTTTGGTGTGCCAACGAGATGTTGGTGCGGGGAAGTAGTCATATCACTAATTTCCACCTATGATCCTAATCCTTATCGTAGATTCTATCGTTGTGCTTATGCTGCGAATTTGAAGGTAATTTTTTTGCTTTTATCCTCCAGTTTCTTGATTTTTAATATAATAATCAAGATTTTTTTTGACAGCTTTGGAACGATGATCATACGCTTAAACGGGTAGATGAAACCTTCCTTAATGAGATTGACACATTGGCTACAAAGAATATTGGACTTGAACAACATCATAAGAGCTTAGTACAGAAAGGTTGGAGTTTAAGAAGATGCAAATGAAGATTGAGGAAGAGGTCTTCGAGAAGGTTGAAGATGCTTTGTGTAAATCCAAATCATGGAATAAGAAGATGACGATTTTCATATTGTTTGTGTGTATGGTCATGATTGGAAGCAGCAAAGTACTTGGTTGATGAAGATGTTGTTGTTATATGTATTGTCATGCTTCCTATTGTTTTTAATTTGAGTTGATCAAACTTAAGACAATGAGTTTTTCATGTTCATTATTATTTAACAAACTTGTAATTATTATTTAACCAACTTTTACAACCTTAGTTGTAGATTACATAAGATTAACCAATATATGCTAATGATTTACAGAACCATGATATTTGTATGCACATGAGTTTACAATGTGTATGCTCTCTTTATTAGCGCTTATAGTTATCGTTTACAAAAGGATTAAGGGTTTTCAAGATGACGTGTCGACATACATTTAGCTCCGTTTATCCAATATGATGTGCCGACCTAAATTGACTGGACAACTTATGATTTACAGAATCCTGATATATGTATGCACGTGAGTTTACAATGTGTATGCTCACTTTATTAGCGCTTATAGTAATAGTTTACTTAAGGAATAAGAAGATGTTATGTTGATAGCGCTTATAACAATCTTCTTTTGGTAGATGGAACACATCTAACTGAAAATTTCAGAGGTGTTATGTTGATAGCAGCAGGAAAGGATGCAATTGAGAGTATTTCCGATAACTTTTTGAATTGTTAAATCGGAGAATGATGTTTCTTGGGAATGGTTCTTTACTCAGCTGCGGGGTGTGATTATTGATGATAATAATTTGGCCATAATTTCTGACCGTAATCAATCAATCCCCAAGTCCATAGCTAACGTTTTTCCCGCAGCCAAATAGGGTGTATATTTCTATCACCTCAAAAATAATCTCCTCGTAAGGTACAAGAAAGACGCAATGATAGGTCAGTTTAAAACTGGCTGCATATGCATATCGACCCACGGATTTTAAATATCATTTTAAAGTGATTCGAAATCATAACACTAATTTAGCAAATTACTTGGAAGAAGCTGATTTTAAGTTATGGGCTTTAGCACATTTTCCAGGAGATAGATTCGGTATAATGACGAGTAACTATGCAGAATCAATTAATGGCGCGCTTTAGGAAGATAGATCATTTCCTATTGCATATTTCATATATGCTATTAGACAGTTGCTGTCAAGGTGAGAAGAAGCTGTCGGGCTAAAAAAAAATTAGGGAAAAGGTTGAAGCCTTGTTATATATAAGACACGATAAACAAGACGGTTTAAATGTTCAATTTATTGATTCATCCCGTAGCTTTGTTACAGGTGGACGATTTCCCTGTATTGTTGATCTACAACAGGTAAGCAAGCTAAAATGTGTGACTTTTCCTGTGTACTAGAACGTGTCTGGCTGTTTAGTGTTTGCCATGTTTCTCCTTTCATGAGTCTTTCTTCTTTCATTGCATAGTTGCACATTGATGCGGACATCAGAACTAGACCAAATTGGAAGCACACCCAACCAATCGGTCCACACACCATACCGGTATACATGGAGAATTTTGGAGAATCTTTGCTCAAATGGAGTTCTGATCAAGTACAAGGTGAATGGTTAATTATTCACTTTGATATTAACCCTAAGAAGTCCAATAGTTCAAGAGGGATCAAAAATTAGCAAGTCAAATCACCTTATTGTTGGAATATGACTGTTGCACTCTTTTTCCCTTGTCTAGGGTCAACACCAAGTCATTAAGGAATCATTTATCATTCATATGATTCAAAGATGATAGCTGATGTACATTCTAATCTACTCCATGACGAACGTGTTGAACTACTCGCTGACTGATACTAGGATTTTTCTATCAATTACCCTAGAGTACTATCATGTCATTGCAGTACAATAGGTATCAGTCCAATCAGGTGAGATGGTAGCAATCAAGATGTATCAGAAATGATAAAGTCAAGCGAAGTATAAATGATTTTTGGTTTTCAATGATCCTAAGCGAACATGTTAAACATGCGATAAATGTAAGGTTGCAAAACATAGAATATCATGCATAAACAGAAACGAAGTAGCTATTAATACCAAACTTGCAAATGACAAATGAAATGAAGCAGAAAACACAAATGGATAGAAGATCCCGAGGATGAGGTTATTGATGTAGGTCGAGTATGCTAATATACTTTGGGTGTTTATCAAACTGCAAACATACTAATCCCTAGACAATGAACTTCTAATACTAGTCAATCCAATCTCTTGGCAGAAACTATCAAGTTTACAACACTTCCTAATCTCAGTTCTCATTGATGAAACATGTAGTAAACATGCATTAAGAAACAGCTCATTAATGTCAATAAACATCTTAGACAACCAATCGCTTGGGCTAAGCATGTAAATCTCTAGCACTAGTTGGTTCAGACATTTCATCATACACCTTTCGAGCATGAAATGTCTATGACCTAGTTCCAATTGATCAGAGAAGAACTAGCTGATAAAACTCTAATCCATAAGGGAAACAAAACGAATCTAACATAAACACCCTAGCAAACTAACATCTTCCACCTAATCTATCCCATCCTCAAGAACCCTAACACTACTCAGACACAGAAATCATGTTAAACATCATAAATCTAAAATCGTTCAAAACAGCATAATAATTAAGATGATAGGAAGATAAACAATAATGATTCAAGAACTAAGTGCAAAATTTTAATAACTTAAAAGAAATCTGAATTACAATTCTCTCGATTGTTTGGTGGCTAACAATAAAGACCTAAGAATAAAAACTCGATCCCTTGGGCAATCCACATGAGACATATTTATAACAAAGTTTGGGAAAACCTTAAAACATAAAACGACAACGTAAAAGCGGTTTAAAAGTTGTAATGACCTTGT